ACACGCGAAATTAAACTACGATAAATTCCCTTTAAAATGTGTGACGTCCGTTGCAAAGCGCAAGCAAGCCGCAAATTCCGACCGCATTTTCAATCTCGTTGGCGTGCCTGAAACACGGCAAATAATGTCAGAAATAACAACTGTCACGACACGCACTCGAAATATCGATACATTGCGCGGCAACGAAATTACCGTGTTTCGCGAAAACACTTGTAATTACGAATAAATTATTCTCTAATGCAAACACAAACAAATTTATTCTTATTAAAAGCGATTTTGTTTCCTTTCCGTGGATTTACGTCGCAGAGACGAAACACGTAGGTTTAAAATTCTTAAAAGTTACATTTAAAAAATATGCAACTAAAAATATAGAAAATAATTTATATTTCAGAATTCTCTATCAAATTTTAAGGAATTTATAAAATATATGATTTTACGTATTTTCCCTTAATTTTTCCTATATTTTTATGAGAATATTTATCAATTTTTAATAACATTTCATTATTTAATAATTGATTGCAAGCGTGTTTTCTTTACCGTCAGTTTGCATTGTAATAAATATGCACCTGCCCTGAATGGCAAAAATCTGACGGCATCTAACATTTATTTCGTCCAAAGAACAGGTGACAACGTCATTATTCTTACTTCGATATCATTAATCATCGCATTCAAATAAAAACTAAACTCACGGGAGCCAGAGTTACGGCGAGCAATAACAATATTTTCTATAAATCCCGAGTTTATTTTGCTCGCCAAGGACCGCAATTCGTTAGCCCATCAAGCCCGATGTCGCGTTTTTTCACGCCAATACCTTTGCTCTAGATACCATTTTCGCAAAGAAAGCGAATTAATAACGATGCAATTATTAACTGTAGAAGAAATACGAAACAATGAAATACGATCGACGTTTGTAACAATAGAAAGCACTCTCGCACGAGTGTCCTGAAAAACAACAGGCAACAGATCGCGGAATTAATCCGCGCAAAAGTTCCTTGTCTCCTGCGAAATAGCGGGGCTTAATGAGAAAGGGGATTCCTCGGTGTCACCCGACCAGCGAATTATACGAGGGACATTATTTTTCACAATTTATGATAGTAGCAGCATGTACACACGCTCCGCCAGAGTCAAGACCTGGTGCCCTTGCATCTGAATTGCTTATCTAAACTCCCACGTAGAGAGCCTCATGCACGGGCGCAATTCCATTAGTAACAAATCTTTGCCGCGAGACTCGTTTCTCGGTAAGGCAATCGGCGACGTTTCTTACGGTGCAGGATCAATCCTTGGCTTTTGCGAACGATACTTGAATCTCCTTGTAACAGCCATTCGGCTGTGTGAATTTGTCTACTCGCATATCGAGAGCGAATTGATTTTTTGGAAGAACCCTACATTTTTTATCGTGTCTAATACAAGATCTTTGAACAAATATATATCTTGTGCTGTCAAAAATATTTCGCGATCGTACATCTAAATCTGCGAGAATACTAACTTCTTTCAAGAAATATCTCTGCAATCGATAAACCTACAAATAGTAATGTAAAAAAATATATTTTTCTTTTACTTTGTAGTCTTATATTCAAAATATTACATTCACAAAATATTACATAATAATACTGTGAAAGTTACAATTACACTATAATAACACTATAAATGTTGTAAGATTATTAAAGTCGAAGAGATGGATGTGTTTCCTTGTGGCGTAACGTTCGCCGTAAAGTGGTTCTCCACGTATCGACGTTACGACGAAAGCGATATTTTCTGCAGCGCAGGCAGACATACCTTGCCTTTTGACCTCGCATCACGTTTATTTCACCGCGCACCCGACATTTATTTCGCCTCGCGTCTTTCTTCCTCGGCCTTGCGGATTTGCGTCGTCAAGGAAAAGTAATTTGTTGCTTATCACATGAAGCAGCGGCGGGGAGAAACGCGGAGCGGGATGAATACAATAGCCGTAGCAAATATTAATTTCTACTTTCGTGCTCGCGAGCGGATATCGCCCGGCTTTCAAGGTAATTCCAATCTTGGATGACGAGAAATGACGCTATTTCCGTAGTACCGGCAGACCTTGTCCCGTGATCCGTATTTCATCGGAAGCTATTCTCGTTAAGATGTGAATTCTGAGAAAGAGATTTATGGACGTCTGGAGAACGGTCGAGCAAACTTTCCTTGCACACAAATGTATTTAATTTCTTCGGTGTCTATGACACTTTTGCGCCCGTAACGTACAAAGATGAAATATATCTATCACTGTTAACAAATATCGTGTGAAAGAATTTCTGAAGTTGCCGAGTATAAATATGGTATTAGGATTTTAACATTTGGCCTGATGGGAAAATGAAATACGGTTGTTATTAAAGATTTATGATATTAATTAGTAATTTGCAGATAAACATATAGCATTTCGCTTGATAAGAGAACATATACCGTTATAATCCGAATATTCAATCTCCAGGGAAACTTTCAACTTTTAATTAATTATATGTTCGGAGAATTTTGTGCAAACACGCAGATATACCGTTTCATCATCTGATTTCGTCGTGTACAATTTTACAATTTTGTCGGAGATTCCTGGAGCTGCGACAGTAATACGGATGAAAATTTCGTACTATTTCGGCATCGAATAACAACGAAATTGAGCAACGTGAAATTCCCACGTGTCGTTTACTGGACGCGCGTCCTACGTGTGGCGGTTGGTTTTATGTGTTAAAGCGCGCACTACAGTGGCGTATGCGCTGAATGCGACACTATCACAATGCGCTCGCTCGTAAATGCACTCGGCGCGGATTAACATGGCAGCGACTCTTGTCTTTTTTTTCATCGAGGAACAGCTAGACCGCGCACATCGAGAAGAGCGTTTCGCTGAATTATACCGGTCGTCCGCAAACCGCTGGCTGGAGCCGGCGGGATTATCTAGCCTGTCACGACTAGCAACGACGTGACGGTCACTCAAGAGTGTCCAGAGACATTGTCATTATTCATTAATCACCAAATTTTACGTGAAATGAAATGTTCGTAAAATTAACGATGACATTACAACGCGCCATGTAACCGAATACCTTAGGTAAGATTCCTGTCGGAATAATCCGCGATGCTTCGCAGCAAAATTATAAAATTATACAAGTTCGTTATTACAACGTTGAAATTACGTAATTACGGTGGTACGTTTTCAGACCACCACACGCGCAGTGCCATGCAGTTATGAGACGTACGATCCCATTAAAACTTTAAATTACGTTATACGTATGCCAAAAGGCAAATTTCTACCGCGCTCATGTTCTTGGCAAAACATACAATATTTCGCGAAATATTTTCCGGCGCGCGCCCGCCGGACGTTCAGGAATTTACTGCCGCATCGAATGAGAAGCCCGGGATCGCGCGTAGCGCGAAATTTTACGGGTGACAATGACGATGTCGAGCGGTTTGTCGTCCCGCCTCCCGAAGGTATCTGTCGCTGGCGCAGCTGCATTCGTTGCGATCGTAAATAATGGTTGTATTTGGAACACGTCGGGGTAGACGACACGCAGGCGACATCCCTTACGCCTACTAAGACCCCGTGAAAATACCTACGCCTAATTATTACACGTGAATGACTTCCTCGGCAGCGCGAAGACGCGCCTTGGATCTTATTCCCAAGCGATCTTAAGCGGATTTACGCGTTCTCGCGGTATGCAGCACAGAAATACCTTACCAAGTTATTTCTCGTGTGCAGTAAATCGAGTAAATCGTGTCTATTTTTCAATTTATGTAATAAGCTTATAATATCTGGTTCTTTTTTAGTATTTAAAACTCTAATTAAGATTGACTGATACCTATAAAAATAGTAAATATGCAATCAAGCTTATAATATATAATTATGTAATACATTTATAAGAGGTAGAATAACAATGTATAATTTATAAATTTTTGCAAGACGGAAGAGGAAGGAGGGTTTAAAACTATAGCTAAGATTGACTGATATAAAGATAGTAAATGCTGGATATTTATAATTATCGCATGCACTTGATATATTCAAGTGAGTAGTAGAATAACAATGTACAATTTATGTATGTAAATTTTTGCAAGAGGAGAGAAGGGTGGTTTAACCGAGGAATCCGGGAAATAAATTCGGTTCTCGCGGCACTCTCGGGAGTAATAAATCGTCGAATTAAGGATTATACGTTGAGTGTAACAGGTTCTACGCAACGATCTCTATGCAACTTTGTGCTGCCGACACGGTGAAAGAGGATTTGCTCATCTCTCTCTCAGTGTACGCTCACGATCGGAGAGGATTTGAAACGCGACACTTCTCCGCACGCTTGTCGCACGCGTGAATACACTGCGAGCGCAGGTGTACAGCGAGCGGATTACAGGGCAATAAAAGCGCAGTAAAGTCCGTTTTGTAACTATGTCCATAGATATATGACAAATGCGGCATTGTCTTTTCAAAACGCGAGCACGAACTTAGCGATGAAAATACAATCGTGAAGAAATCATGATAGTCTAGTCTTGAATGAGAATCTCATAAGAAATAAAAAAAAATACGTGTTATTAATTAAATGTGACATGCAGTGAGATTGCAGATATATGAAAATTAGTATTTTTCAAATTACGTTTATAATGACTGACAAAATTATACAACCAACTGTCCGCGTGTGCATTTTGTGTCATTCTCATTTCTCTCACTTTATTTTAATTATTTTCAAACACTCGAATCGATTGGACAAATTTTCGCTAAGTTTACAACCGATTTAGTGCCCCCTTCGACCACAATCGTGTAGAAATTTTACTCGACGTTGATCAACTCTTTCAATTCCAATAAGAGATCCCACGAGTCACGGAGCGTCAAAGGCTTGAGACTGGAGATCACTAAAGTGGCGTTTCCACTCGGCCTCCGAGCGTAGCCTACCTGTGGCTCTCGTTCACCTCTCGTTTACCCTTTAATTCATCTCCCGTCAATTATCACTCTTGACTGGATACTTGGTGTGAAACCCGTTCGTTCGTTCGTTCGTACGTTTTTTACTCACCTAGGCGGCATATTGAGTCATTCCATCGGCGTTACAGGTCGTAGTACGATCGCGAGCGGTCCTTCCTCGTCTCCGGAAATCGAAGAAACCGGGCGAAAACCTCGCCGAGATCAGCGACCGCAGAGACCAATCAAATGTATTCTTCTTCTCCTCTTCACACTCGCGCGTCCCGCCGCGGTCGAATTAATTTTGTTCACGAATTACCGGCGAAACGCAAGCCGCGACGAAATAACGCGATCGACGGTGGCGCCAATTTCCAAGGTCGGGTCGCAAGGTCACAGCCCTCTTCCGTACCAAGCCGGCCGGCACGATCGGAAGTGGCGATCGTGTCGAATTCGCGCGCGTGCCCGTATCGAGCGCGGAGGTCTCGCTGCGCGTGCTTGCCGGCCACCCCCCTGTCGTTTCCTGCGTCTCTTGCTCTCTCACACACACACACACTCTCTCTCTTTCTCTCTCTCTCTTTCTCTCTTTCCCGGTCAAGATCCTTGTCGCACGCGCACGATGCCCCCACGATCCGCACCACGGTCCACCACTCACTGACAAGGGTCCCTTCGTGACACTTGCTACTTCCTTCTTGATTTTTCTCCCTCTCCTGCCGCCGGCTGCACTTCTCCTCTGCCGCCTCCGCTGCTCTCCTCGACGTCCTCGTCGTCCTCGTCGTCGTTGTGCCGCCGCTTCGACGCCTCGTGGTGCACGTCACGACGCTAGTCACCGCTCGGAGCACGTATCGGCGTGACACTAGATTACGTCGCTGATTTCATCGGAGACGAAGAGCTGACGCTCGCGTTTCCCGCGATGTCTCTCTCTGTGATCGCGCTCACGACTCACCCGCGCGACGATTACGTCCAGGCAGTCGCTGGCTGTCCCAGATCATCGATGCCGTCACGTGGCGCAAGAGGAAACTGTTACTCGATGACAGCCGGAGTGTCACGTGGCGGTGATGTACAATGACGCCGCGTTGACAGTCACGTTGACAATCACAAACTCGTACCGGTGCGTTTCGTTATAGATGACTGGCTGTTTCTCCAATCCTCTCCGTTCACCGGCGGTTTCTCTCGTGACGATCCTTTCTTTTCCCTCGAGGGGGGCGTGTCGATACTTTAGTGATGGAGAACAACGATCTCCCCGACTCCGCGAGTGATACCTGCTCTCGGGCTCGGCAATTATCGTCAATCACGACACTTGTCGCCGGTATTTCATTACATACCAAGGATGATCCGAGATGCTTCTCGGTCTCTGAATCGTTGAGAAAACGTTTTCTGCTTATCTCCCGCGCGTTTCCTTTCGCCTCCGGCGCGAAGTCCTCTTGCAATCCACTCGGGATCGTTTCAAATTGGCGTCAGTGTCCCTCTTTCTGTTTCTTTTTTATCTCTCTTCTTTTTTTTAGTCGTCAAATATCTTTCCTCCGTGTTCTCTCTGCCTTCTTCGGTCTTTCCAGCCGTTCTCACCTCGGACTCTCGAAATAGTCGCGCGAGAGGAACCGCAAGTGAGCACCGGTGCGAACGATCGCGCCGACACAATGGAACAACAGGCCGGGACCGGTGGCGGCTGATTCAAATTCGCTCCCCACGTGGCGGCGACGGCGTCGTCCCCGAGACTGCCGCCGGTACGACGCCCGGCGCCGGTCAGTGCGTCGCCATCTCACGGCCCGGCAGCCAACCGGCTTTACCGCCGTGAATCCTCTTGAAAAACGTCGCCGTCAGCATCGAAACTTGATGTAACCAGTCCTTGAAATAAGTACATAGGCATCCCTATTCTACATGCACATATGTAGGCGAATGCAATTCAAGATTGTCTTACTGCATATTCGCGACGAGTGCTTATTTCGCGCAGAGGGTCGAATAACTGCTCAGTGGTACCGAATGCAAATTTCAGGGATAGGAATAGGTGTAGTTTGAAATGAGCGAGAATAAACCAACGGTATAATAATCGGGATTGCGTTTGAGAAAGATGGAAATCGGTGCTGGAATATTGCTCGACGATTTCGAAAGGTCAATGTTTGCTTGGTGGAAATAACGGGAGGAAAAAATTACGAGAGATTATATTGCACATAAAGAAATTCTCGCTAGGCAAATTTCACAGTGCGCAAGCAGAGAAGTGAATTGCGATATCTCGCTTTTCAATTATATCCGAGTGGTTTAATGATGTAGAACTAATTGCCGCAATATTTAGGCTGGATTCGGAGAGCGCGCTATTAGCGCTATTTGCTTATTCTATCCTTGTTTTACATCTGATGAGCGATAAAGACAGAATGATGCAATAGCGCTAATAGCGCGCTCCCCGAACGCAGCCTTAGAGTTTTAAAGCGAGAAATGATGATCTCTGATCATCCTTTATTTTAACGAATGCGCGTTGTATTAGCATACGTTACATTTCACGATACAGCAACATAATGAAATGTAGGTATGTAATAAATATGTAAGATGAAATAACACAATGTCCGAATGCATTAATCATATCTACGCGAACTTTGACGATGAGGAAGGTGCATACGTCAACGTAGCGCGCTGATACTGCCCGCATCAATTTGGAGGATGTACCATCTGATCCGTCGCAATGTCAAGGATTTATCATCCAAATTACATTCGCGTGGTCCGTAATACGATCTAAGATCCGGGTCATGTTCATAAAGCAGATCTTAATGTGAATCACTTCTGAAGATGTATCCTATTCTCTGAGTCAATATCGCATAAAGCATGTCAATTAAAATTGAGATTAGAGTAGAATCTAATAGAACATTACTATATAGCAATTACTACAAGATTTTAAATTGTAAATGACACTATAAATAAAACGAATATATGCGTATTTGCGACATATTTATTCAAAATAATATTAAACATTAAATCTAGTCGTGTCTCATGATCGTGAAATTATTGAAAGAAATATTTATAATACAATTTTTTTAATAATTTTATTTTTTGCTTTTAATAGTTCTAATAATTGTAATAATTATTTTATTAAATAACTGCATATATGATTATTAATAATTATTTCGACACAAACTTCATAATAATAGTACTAGGTCGATAATATTTTTATATATTTTTGAATGAAATTAATGTCTCGAATCTCATGTTTATTTCTTATCAGCTTTTGATTAAATGTATATTAGCATTAAAATAACTCGTTGCACGTTGAAATTTAATTATTATCGTTATTAGTTAAATTGCTCTATATTTAAGGAAAATGACAAATTAAAGATAAATTATTTGATCGTTAAATTATACGCTTATTTTTATGGTAAAAAAATATATAATTTTTATGGTTTAGATATTAGTCAAATATTAATTAATTATTGCATTCAATCGATTCGCTGGTAGGATAGTAAATTGATCATTGTCGTTCAATTCATTGACATATAGAAGACGTACATGCGCGTCTAAAGCGAAAGAATATATCACGTGTTGATAACTAACGAGTGTATATTCATGTCTATATAGCCCAACATTTTTACATAATAATCACAAGTCCATAACGGAACGTGCCTTCGTTCAGCTGACCCTCCTTCATTCATCCGATCGTCCATTCATTCTTATATCCGTACAATGAACCGTGACATTTGCGTCGCTGCAACATGGTTCACGACCTCCTTCGCCCATGCAATCTGTGATGTAACGAGATTGGCTATTTTAGGATCATCTACGGAGCATTTCACAATCGCATTATGTCTTGTCGAAACGTTCGCGAGAAACTTTATTTCTCTAAACAAACATACTTCTTCGTATTTTTTTTTAGGTATGCATATTGTTGTCGCGTTTCTTAGGAAATTTTTCTTATAATTTAAAAAACTTTGCATCTGAAACGCGCGGACGATGCTGCATCGCAAGAGAGAAAATATGCTCTTCAAGTATTTCGAAAAAATCAAGGAACGATAAAAAGTTAAAAGGTTTAATCATATCGACATTAAGAAACTGATTTCAAAACAGACCGAAGAATCGATAAATGGAAGGTTATGATTTTGTAATATGACGCGCGTTCTCAGAGAATATCTTAGAATGCGCGACAAATGCACATCTTTTCTCTGTGAGAAAGGACTCTTAACGTTTAAGAGCTTCGCGAGCTTCTATCTATCAGCTTGTGCCGTGAAGATAGACGCACAGCTGCTTGAGATTCGATTACCGGAGATTATTATGATAATCATCACGAAAAAGACTAAGTGAATGCCGGGTATGGAGCGCGAACGCATTAACGCACGTTGATATTCGATTTTTTTTTATCTCATTGCTCCATCTGCATGCCCAGTAGAAAGTGCTTCCCCGCATCTATGCCGTTCTTGCGCCGACATGCCTTGCTGGTTAACGCGATAACAAAATGATCAGAGGTAAATCACCGTTTAATCGGGCCGACCGAAACCAGTTTTTCTTCAAAAGATGCTTCTGACGTTGATACTTTAAAAGGAGACCGACGCGCAGTTGCTCGTGTCCTGTTATCTTATATCCTGTCGTCATATAATTAAGATTGATTAATATGATAGATACGCTAACATGTACAAAAGAATATTTCTAAACTTAAACGAAGTATTCAAAATAATATGCAGATAGCTGCATATAACTCAATATAAAATCACAATTTTTATACGAACGGATTATTTGTTTTTTTTTCCCATAAAATTCAAACAATATTTTTTTTATAGTCTCGATGGTTGTCACATAAAAATACATCAAGCGATTAATATAGAGGTGTTCGTCGTTTGGGAATCAACAATAACGCAATCGAAGCACAATAAAAGCCAGATGTTGATAGCCATTCGAGGATTTACGGATTCTATATAGCAGGCTCGAAGTATCTCCAGCGGTATCCCCAGCAATTGCCCGTTCGCGCAATTCCCGAAAAACCAATCGCGCGCCCATATAGCGAGTGCGGGGAATTAATTTGACGCCTGATCCACGCGACTCGGCGCGTTATATTGCGCTAGCCGTTATTGATGGTATTCACGAACTCGTTTTAGCACCGGACATGCTGCAAAGTAATTCGCGATCGGCGGATCCGCTACAGCGGTAACGTTGCGGTGCCGTCGTGGCGTAAATTTTGCCGGTATTTAAGACCGCGAGCGAGCGAGGACCTCTTCGTCGCGGTCGTGAGAAAAACGCCGCGGCGACTTGAGCGTGTAAAAAGGATATATCGTCGAGCTGTTAATTGAAATTGTAAAGTGGCAAGCCAGCGACGAAGCCATTCCCGCATTCACGTCCATCCGTGGTAATTTAACGGGAGATTTTAGCGCGCGGGAGGCGTCGCAACATTTGTTAGTCGCGGGGTGGCGACCGCGCTGAGTAACGACGTGGGACAAAGTGTCGTGCGCAGGTGCGCGCCAAGAATCTCTGAAAATGCGGGAAAGGCAGCGGGTACCGGGGTGAGAGAGGACCGGCGGGAGGTCGGAGCAATTTGTTTGGATCCGAGATGCAAGTGAGATTAACCCTTCGCCGGCGTGTCGGGAAATTATTACGCTGTCACTTTGAACGGCGTCGATCGAGTAAGTGTCACGCGACGACATTCTTATAAACGCGAGAATGTTAAATCTTTTTGCAAGATGATTAAAAAACTGAAATGGCAAAGTCGACGTCCAATATAATCCTCGTAGCGTGTTAATTGACAAAATGTTTCTGTTTATAATCGTCCGTATTTACTTTCAGCTCAAGACAGAATTGCGAAGCCTTGAAAATGCCTGAAAAAAATATGTAGCTCATAAAAAATATCAATTTTATAATTTTATTTATTTTATTAAAAATTATAATATTATAATAGTCGCTGTCTCGTTGGTCTCCCATGAATTTCAGGTTTGTGGAACTTTCTCCATTCCCACGGAATTTTACATCTTTCTGATGATGCAAGGAAAATTAATGATCATATTCGAAATATGTGATAATGATTGATGATGTCTAGTTTAAGTATAAAATTATAGACTAAGCCTTCAGTTCTTGTGTGATGAACGCGTAATCTTGATTTAGTAAGTGAATGCCTAGTAATGAATCCTTAATTATCGTATCGCGTCGTATAACTGTTTCTGACGTTCCCGTCGTAACTCTCGTAGAAATAAAATCTTGGCGCACGTATATATTTTCCGCGATTAGAAGGCACTGATAGAACACTGCTTAGTTGCATTTAAGACGGAAAAAGAAGAGGAGTTATTTGATTACACGAGTGGTTACTTCCATTAGTAGACTCGGCCGCGAATGGTCGAAGTCCATTTATTAGTTGAGCGGACAAGATCGTTACAGGGGTAAACTTTCGCGAGGAAGAAGTTTCCAGCCGAACAACGCACGCTCGCTCGGCCGTTTGGAGAGATTTGCACTTAGGCAACTTATTAACCCGGTTTAATCGTGCCCCGTCGAGTCAAACTCTCTGATTGGTGCTGGATGACGTCGGCGTGCTGTTTAATCCTTACACGAAGTCACGAACTAATTTCACGAACTACATTTACAACGTCGTCTCAGTACGCTCGAGATCAGGATGGATTAAAGAACAGCAGCAGATCTCGCCTGCGTGAGGATCGATTATGCGCGCCTCGCGTATTTTCATCTGGAAAATTAAATACTTAAGTAGGCTCGAGTTATTTT